GATATAAGGAAGAAATTCTTTACAATGAGGGTGGTGAAACACTGGAACGGGTTGCCCAGAGAGGTAGTGGAGGCCCCATCCCTGGAAACATTCAAGACCAGTTTGGACAGGGCTCTGAGCAACCTGATCTAGTTAGTGGTGTCCCTGCTCACTGCGGGGGGGTTGGACTAGATGACCTCTAGGGGTCCCTTCCGACCCAAAACTTTCTATGATTCTATGAAAATAATTGGGTTTATTAGATAGAACATTCACTGAAATCTGCTGCAAAGGATTTTCCAAAGGAAGGGAAAAGCGAAGGGACCTCCCAGGTGGTCAGAAGTCTACCACTGTTTACAAGGACTGGAATGCTCTTGCCTCAGTGAGTACTGTTAAATCAGCATCACTAAAAGTAATGGCTTCAAGCTGAAAGAGGGCAGATTTAGATTAGATATAAGCAGGAAATTCTTTACTATGACAGTTGTGAGACACTGGAACAGGTTGCCCAGAGAAGTTGTGGATGGCCCCCCCCTGGGAGGGTTCAACGCCAGGGTTCAAGGCCAGGTTGGATGGGGCTTTGAGCAGCCTGGTCTAGTGGAAGGTGTCACGGCCCATGGCAGGGGGATTGGAACAGATGATCTTTAAAGGTCCCTTCCAACCCAAACCATTGTATGATTCTGCGATTTTGTATTCAGAAGTTTAATACCAATATATACGCTGCAAATTAAAATCTGTAGAGAAAAACCACAAAGCCTTCTGCAGCACTTTTACACCATCCGTGCCATATTGTACAAATTAGGCACATAAGAAATATATTACTGCATTTTTCCAAAAGACAATGCAAACAATTCTTACAATAGTGCATCTGCACAATATAAATGAGTTTGCCATTAAGAGCATTCTGCTTCAGCAGAAGTACCAAAAAAAATGTTTAACTGAAAAATACAGGTGTGTTTTTCAGTTTGGGTTTCATCTTTGTTGTTTGGGGTTTTTTCCCCCAGGCCTTTTTTCTACAGTACAGCTCTTCTTGAGACAGACTTCCATCACAGGAAAAACTATATGAGTACATTTGGTTAAATGTTCACGCCACCTGCTACATTCATGGAGTGGGTCAGGAACTACATAGACATTGCTTTGGAGAAAAATGAGACTCACCTGGAAATGCAGACAGCAAAACTGTTTAGAAAGTAAGAAGGTGCAGGAGGTGATTATTTTGGAGAAATTACCATGGAGTAAACTAAGGTGAGAATTCTCAGTGAATCATTTCGTAGTAATTCTCTACATGGATATTTGGTTCATATTAAATGCATGTCTATACCACATTAATGGGGCACTCTGCATAAAACCCAGCCTAGCTAGATCCATGACCAGTACAGCGATGAGATGCAGTATTTACTGGAGATGGTATATGCTACCCTGTCATCAGCACTCTGTCTGGAATCTCCACCCAGCAGGGCTCAGCTTTGTAATCACTGCAATGCAACCTACCACACAGGGTAAATCACGGTGAGTCCACCTTGGCAACAGTAAGTGAAAACTCCCAGTTCTGCAATGCTCCTTTCCCACATTCTGTGAGTTGTTTTGGTAAACGACAGCAGCTAGTCCAGGTTCTGAGCCATGCCATATGTGCAGCAAAGAAGTATTCCTCTTCCACTCAGCCAGATGCTGCATCTGTGGCAGCAACTCCTGTTTCTGTGCCACACAGTCTGCAACACAGTAGGTTTCTCATGACACTTCACAAACAACCCTTCTCCTCCAAACAATCAGTGAAAGTGCACTCAAGTTGGAATTATGCATAGATTCTGCAAGTTCAGACTTGCAGAAACAAATCCAGAACTACCATTATGTCAATTGTAAAACAGCTTATTTGAATTAAAACATCACTGGTGTTCAGGGCAAGTGGAAGAGAGAAAGGGGGGAAATACAAAGGGGTGGGAGGATTTGGACAATGCACTAAGGTGACTGATCGGTACAAGCTGACACTGAAACTTATAGCTATTAAATACCATTTGCTGATTTTTTGTGTGTGTGAAGACAAGGGGACAAATTGAAAAAAATTAGTTAAATCTGTTCCTGAATAATCTTATAAACAATTGTGCTTCTACATTCTCAGACATGAATAATGGTGTCTTCCACATCAGTTTGTGGAATTTAAGAAGTAGGTGAGGCGTATAAAATAGAAGGCATTTCACAATCTTTTTTGTCCTCTGTACTACAGTTTATTGCCTTCATCAATTGTACTAGTGCAGCTGATCTACAAGGCTGACAAAGTGTGACACACAGATGTGAAGGAAAGCTGAGCAGCCAAGTGCAGAAACTTCTTAGGTTCCCACCTGCCAAAGTCAGTGTGAGATACGGAATAGCATATATTCGGCTGGTCTTAATATAATGCAGGATAGAGTCCTAAAAATGCAATTATAGTTTTAAGAAAACCATGATCATTTGCTGCTATTCTTTTACGGACCAAATGTTGGTTTTTTTCCCGTTATGATAATAAATATTTTATAGTATGCTTTAAAATTAACAAAAAAGGTAATACTTGAATCTGTCAACATGTACCTACCATGCTTTGCAGGTTTTCCATTCTCTTGTCTTCTTCCTCCCCTCCTTCCCCCCAAAAAATTTAAACCCTACTTAATTTTCACTTATGAGGTCTCTGCCCTAAACAGAGTTGAAATGCTTATGCTGGAAACACTGCATGAGAATATTCTGACATCCAATGCAAAACAAAATCCTTGGTTTCACTTCCATTTTTAAGATTTGCTGGTATATCTATTAATTTTTATTACTTTTTACTCTGAGAACATTTATTTCAATAATATTAACTGGTTTTAATATTGGTTTAAATCTTGTTGACTTTGCTGTTGCCTCTGTGCCCATTGACGCCTTCTTTCAAACTGGACTACATTGACTTCAATGGAGTTCTGCACTGTTCTGTTCTCACAGACTCACATCTGAGGTCCAAGCTCTTGCAGTAATATGACTGCTGTCCAATGCAGGAACATGTCATTATATAAAAATTCTGGTATGACAAGTATCTGTCACAGTTATGTTCACCCTTGCACAAAATGTACATGCTCAAAATTTACTTTCAGATAGTTTATTCAAGATTTTCCATAACACAATCTGGTAAGTAATCTGTCCTTAATGCTTACAGGTATGAGATGGGGAAACCTATCTTGAACAAACTTCATCCCAGGTAAGAGGCAACGTAAGAACTCCTCCATGATGCTTTAGGCCTTATATAACCCTTGAGACACTGTGGCACACCGTGTTGAAAGCATTAGGAATGAGATTGGCTCTGGGAAACTGGAAGTTCTGCAATATCATTTGTGTGGACTTGCTGTCTATATGGTTCAAGACTTACTACACGTATTACTTTCTCCCAGTCATCTGAATTATGAGTCATACAAACAGAAAGAGGAACGCGTATATGTGAACAAAGCAGATGTGCATGTTTGTCAAGTTTGTTGTCAGGTTTACTTAGCTCTTGTTTTCTGTCCTGCCCCATCTAGGGCAAAAAAGTTTGCATCTTTGACAAGTCCGGGTAGCTGCTACCTCAGCGACAATCTGAGACTAACACCTGACTATTAAACGATAAAACCTCACACTGGTAAGTCTCTGGAAGTCTCCCATGACTCAAACTTCCACCTACAGCTTAAAAGCCTGGCGATCTTTGTTTTGTTTAACTGAGCAGGAGCAAGAAAACCCCACCAGCTGTGTGCTTAGCATGATAAGTACATTTAAAAGTCTCTCAAGAATCCTGGTTGTCCATCGGTTGCCTGCAGAACACCCTGCCATGGACAGACAGGCCAGTTTATAGCTAAAAGCACATGCAGAGATAGAAATAGTTTGCAAACCCAGAAAGCAAACCTGAAATTGGATCTGTACAGACAGACTCTTGGAGCTCAAATGGCAAGCTTCCTCCTTCGGATCTGATTGCAAGCTCAGGACTACAGTCTATAAGAGCTAATTTTTTACCTCAACCGAATTTGAAATGTGGTCTCACTGAAGAGAAATCTAGGCTTAAATTTTATTAAATAAAAAAAAAAGCAAAACCCTTCAGGAGAATACACATATGTTAAACTATTCTTCTATGAACGTGACAGAATCAACTGTAACTCACACTCTAGGCCTCTAGAACTGGGGCTCTGTGACGGCTGAACCACAGGAACAAACACCGAAGGAAAGCTGCAGCCAAGCTGCCGCCATCAACGGGGTACGCCACTTGCGCAAATTTCCCTTCCCTCCTAGACCCTACCGCCAGCCATGTGGCGTAACGGCTTTCGCGAATACGGATGCTGCACTGCGGCGATGGCACAGTTCAACCAAACTTTCTCCCTCCTCCTCCCACTTCGACGTTAAGGCCACCCCCTTTCTCGGTGATGATTGGCGAGACGGGCGGAGCCCTTCGCGGCGATTGGCGGCTGCTGGAGGGAGGTGGGGTAGGTTGCGTGAAGGGTAATAAAGTTAGTGGAGCTGGCTCAGCGCGCTTTAGACGCGGCAGCGAGTCGGCTCTCTATGGAGGTGGCGGAGGGAAGCG